TAGTGCAACAATGAATGAATGGAAACCCAAAATCTCTGTAAATGTTTGTGAAAATTAATAAAATATAAGTATAGAAAAGAAAAGAAAACATTTAGTTTATTTGTACATTGCTACTGAGTTGTTGAGATGCTACTGAGTTAGAGTTGACTCCATAATAGCACCTCATAGCACCCCATACAGACATAAAATGTAGTAGTTGGCTGAATTTTATGATATATTTCTTTTCTAGGACCAGTAATGAATCTTTGCTGAGCAGCTAAAATTCTTTCCTTTTTGAGTAATAGCATTTACTTGTGACTGTGAGGTTGGGGTTAGAATTAGGCTTTGTGTTTCATTGTTGCTGAGATCATTTCCTGACTTGTTGGTATAGTAATCAGAACCTGTTTTGTCAATATAATACTTTTTATTAATTTAACTTAAACTCTTAGGCACATCTTGACAGTTTTCAAAGTGATAACCCATAAAACTTACCATCCCAGATGTAAGGTGCATAATCATAAAATATGTGAATTGTAGTGAAATAATCTGTCTTCTACAGAAAATACATTTAATGACCCTCAATGAGATCGATTGGACTTGATTTGAGTAATGGAATTAGGTGTGGCAGAGATCGTAAGGTGGGCTCAGGATAGAACATCATTCAGAGCTGTTGTACAGAGGGTCGCTGTGAGTCACCGGCGACTTGACAACATGTAACAACAACATGTTTTATAGTATATCTATAAATGGAAAAAACCCTACTTCTTTCAAATATGAATAGAATTATTATATAACTTTCTGACAGTCATTTCTTTAAAACAAAATTATGACTAAAAAGTGCATTTTTAGAATTAAGCAGCTGTTTTTCTATTTTCTCTCAAAATAGTTAACACAGATTATGCGTACTGGACAGAACACTTGGGAAAGTAAAAATATTCTTGCTGTTTCATTTGCTCCACTTGTGCAGCCAAGTAAGAATGATAATGGGAAACCAGATTCAGTGGGACTCCGTAAGTACTTTATGTTGAAATTGTAAAGCATCATTTTCAACTTACAGACTTAGAATTTTATATTCCATATAAATTATTACATAAATACTTAGTAGAGTCAATGAATCAATTTTTTTTAAATTAAGCTTTTACCTTGTATTGGATTCTAGCTGTCTTCATGGAAACATGAAAAGAGTGAGCCAATCAAACACCACTCTTATTCCACTTATACTGCACGTAATTTCCCCCCCTTTTGTTTTATGTAATGCATTCTGAAAATAAGGATGATAAATTCTGAAACACATCAGGTTAAGCTATATGAAGTTGATGTTTTTATAGATGAAAATGGTCAGAAAAATGTCAGTTTGGTTAGATGAGAATAAAGTATTTTCAATCTCTTGTTAAAACGGAAAGAAAAAGTTCTGACTGGTAGATTCTTGTAAAAATCTATATAGAGCCTCCCCTTTAGGAAACAAAAAAGATTAAGTGTATGTTTGAGAGATGACTGCTGGTTCTACTGTGGAAGTTCAGAATAATTTTTTTTAGAAGTACAAGTTACTATTATTTAATTCTTGATTACATGAGGGTTGCAGAGTGGGTTATATTTGGGGCTAGGGGTGGGGTTTGGGGAGGTGCGGTGCGGGGGGATTGTGTACCAATGAGGGAGTTTTTATTTTGCTTTTCAAGGAGAGGAGCAAATGGGGAGGGGGGGTTGCGAGGAGAAGGGTGCAACAATGAATGAATGAATGGAATCCCAAAATCTCTGTAGATGTTCATTGAAATGAAAAATAAACAACCTAAATTAAAAAAAAAAATGTAGGGGAATCTTAAAGAATTTTAAAAAATCTACTTTTCTAATTTTTTAATTATACTGATTATATTTCAGTAAGTGTGCTGAGAATTATCTCTAGGGAACTTTTAAATGACACTCATGTGGGTACTCTTTTAGGGACATCTTGGTGTTAGAAGTTACCAAATAAATTCTTACTCCTTTTTCCACTCCGGTTCTGGTTTGTTCACTATGCATTTTATTCGTCTCATGGTTTTGATCAGTTTATCATGTTAGCAGTGCCTTTGGAATAGCAGACAGTGTTGTTGATAGGAGAACAGCACAGTATGAGGGAATAACCAATAGTATGAAAGGCCCTAGAGCAAAGACCGGATGAGAAGACTAATTGTACCTTCCATTCTATGGTCCTTTTCCATCCCCTCTGTGGAGATCATTTATCTCCGTTCCATTCTAGCATTCTCATCAAGCTTCTTGTCACCCTTACAGCACCCATAAGCTGACAAGTCCCAGATTTGTATTTCTTTCCTGCCTTGCCCTTGACAATTACTATGTCTTGTCTCCTTGGAAACGATTCATGGCTGACCATCCAGCTAATTTTCTAAAGCTGTAAATCACATAAGAAGATTGCCCATTTTTCTCTCTCAAAATGACTGGTGCCATCAGGTTGGTGGTGTAACCCCTTATCACCAGAGCTCCCTTGCCTTTGACTAATGATTATCTAATAGACAGAATACACCCTGAAATCAAATGTCAGATTGAAATCCCAGTTTGAACACTTAAACACTCTCCTACTGTTAGTATTGTTGTATACCATCGACTCAGAACTGACCCATAGCTGATCCACCAGTGGATTTTCAGAGGCAGGGGAAGAGATTGCTCATTTTTCTTCCCTGGAGTTTCCGGTGGATTTGAATCCGGTATCTTCGTGTTGGTAGTGCAGCTCCTTAACAGTAGGCCACCAGAGCTCCCTGCTACTGTGAGCCAAGTTGTTTTAAGTTCTTTGTATTACAATTCCTTATTGACCATTACATGAGTTACATTATCTATTTATAAGCATTTAAATACAGTTAACTGTTGTCATACTAACGAGTTTGTTATCAGTAGCTTTGTTGTCATTCCTGAAACTCCATTTTGAATATGCAATTGTTACTTTCTGCCATTGAGTTATGATCAACTTATATCTGAACCTCCAGCAGGTTTTTAGAAGCAATAAATTGCACAAGAGAAGATTGTCAATCGTTCTCTTGGAGCAGCTGGTATATTTGAAACAAGTGGCTTTGAGATGGCAGCACAGCTTCTTAACGCTAGGCTACCAGAACTCCCTTTTGAGTGTGTGTATACACATGCATGTGTGCGCACACACATAGAGTGTGTGTACATATCTGTTATGAAGTCCTGTTGACACTCCTTTAGACGAGTAGTGACTGTGGACTAATTTTTATCTGTCCTGCTTTTCTGTTCTGCCCTACACTCCACTTCCCAAATGCACTGCAGAGGTTTTTCCACATAACAAGAGCTTTGATTTTCTAGATGGCTTATGCATGCTTTATAATTATTCAGATCAGCCCCTTACTGGCTTTTTTTTTTTTTTTAATTTGAAAACTTTTTTAAAAAGTTCTAAGCATTTGCTGAGGGGACTCTGGTGGCTTGTTGAGTAAGGAGCTGTCAACCCAAAGACAAACAGTTGAATCCTTCAGCTACTCTTGTTGACAAGTATAGCAACCCTGTGAACAGCCAGCTTGACTCCTGCCCTATCCTCTGTCATCTCCGTCATCTCTGACACACTAGAGCCCATTGCTGAAGTCACCATGTCAATCTGTTATGTTGGAAGTGGTCTTTGCAGACCCTCCATCTTTCCAAATATTATGTCCCTCTCAAGGAGTATCCTCACCTACCTACATGTCAGAAGTATGGACGACTGACGATTCATTGACTCTGCCTCCAGGGAGTGCTCTGGCTACATGTTTTTCAGGAAATAGCTGTTTGTTCCTCTAGCAGTCCATTCTCTCAAGTATTCTGAGGGATAAAAATGGTCAGTTTTCTCCTGTGCTGTTTACATGCTCTGAAAACCCACTGGAAGGTCAACTGTGAGTGAGTTCCAACTAGAGGACACACAGCAGCAACATCAGATACTTATTATTTCACATGGGGAGCATGTTTGTGTATTAAAGTTATTTTTACATTAAATTTATTGTCACCCTGTTTTGGGCTGACCTTTCCATAATTAAGCTTTGCCCTCAAATGTTCTGTTCCTGGGTTTTCTGGGGCCTAACACTCCTTAACACTTCTTAGCTGTGGGGCATTGTTTTCTCTCCTAGTTTGTTTACCCTTTTTTCCCTCCTTCACACTCCCCAGGTAGTCTCCTTTGTTCTTTGCACTGTTTTCATTATCTAGTTTATGCTATCCTTATATGCTGTGCAGTTAGAACTGACCCGAAGCTGATCCTCCAGCAGGTTTTCCGAGGTAATAAATCAGTCACACAGGAGGAGATTGCTTCTCTTTCTCCTGCTGAGCAACTGAACTGGTGGATTTGAACTGTGTTGCCTTGGGATTGCAATGCAGCTCAGTACCTCGTAGTCATAGCTTATGGGCTCTTGTTAGATGGAAGTCAGAGTTGTATACTACCAAATAAACAACAAATCCAGACTTTGATTGCTCTTATTGTTTAGTATCTGTGAGTTTGCTCTTGACTAAATAACCTTTAGGACAACAGGAAAGGAAGACTGAGAAAAGGATCATTATTGTAGGATTTGGGTATAAGAACTACAACAGTAGGAAGAACATTTGGGTGTCAGATAAAGCATCCCAAAGAGTTAGGAAAAAAGTGTTGCTTCCTTTTTGTTTGTTTATTTTTATGGAGACTAAGGCTAGGAAATTACATTAGAAAAAATGTAGGGGTTCAGAATGAGTGGCAGTGTCAGCAGGTAGTAAGTAAATCAGATTTTACAAAGGTCAGTTCTGCAGAAGGAGCTGCTAAGGTGAGGATGATCCTGATCCTGTTTTAGTTGAGGTTGAGGGTTAGCCAAGGTTCAGGTGCTTGTGAAACCACAGAAATTTAGTTAACAAGGGTTTTGATTTGGAAACCTCTCTGAGGGCAAGCTATTCAATTACTCAATTACTCATTTACTCAATTTGGGGGCAAGGAATGGGGAAGTTGGAGGGTTTGTGTCTGGCTTTCATAAGTGAACAAGGATTGTCTGTGAAAAGGGTGATTACAAAGGCTGAGGAGAATTCTTTAGTGTTTTCTTATATTAGAGAGTTCAGGTAAAGTTCAGTATTAACAATACTTGCTTTCTAACATTCACAGAGAAAATCACATTTTGTCCTTTGATGATATGGGCAGTATGTAATGTTTACTTTTCATGTCTGCTTTCCCTTCAGCCCCGTGTGCTGTTAGAAACCTGCAGGACTTGGCTCGCATTTATATCCGCCGTACACTTAGAAATTTCATCAATGACGAGATGCAAGCCAAAGGAATTCCTTCCAGGGCTCCACCAAAAAGGAAAAGGAAGAGAGTTAAGCAGCGAATTAACACATATGTGTTTGTGGGGAATCAGCTCATTCCTCAGCCTCTAGACAGTGAAGAAGATGAAAAAATGGAAGAGGATAACAAAGAGGAGGAGGAGAAAGATCATAGTGAAGCCATGAAGCCAGAAGAGCCTCCTCAAAATCTGCTGCGAGAAAAAATCATGAAGTTGCCCCTCCCTGAATCTTTAAAAGCTTACTTGACATATTTTAGAGAAAAATAATTTAGCCCAAGAAGAATGTCTACCGATACAGTTCCTCTAGTCTTGAAATGTAGCATTTGTTAGGCGTTAAAGAGATTGTTTCTTTCATCAGAGCAAATTATAGTGGGAAAAAGTATAATTTGTTTTTTGTCTTAGTAAGAAAAATGATGTATTCGGTGATTAAGAAGAATCCCTTTTATAAAATCTATTTTTCTTTAAATCTTGGAAAAATGCTGTTTTAACTCAGTGATTTAAAAGTGGAATGCAATAGTCAAGGCTTTGTGTACTGTTTATCTTTTTCTGATTTGCTACACATTTGTAGTGGCGGGTTAAATTTAGTTTTATATAAGGTTAAATAAGCATACATAATCGGATTTGGATTAGAGTTGTTTGCATTTCCTCTAGGAAGACTTTCTTATATAATAAGAAAATCAAATGCTTTGTAGACTTAATTTTGTTGCAGTCACTATTGCTGAGTTGATACAGATATATTCCAGGCAATATATGAGTGCAATAAGCAATATACAGATACTGAATGATTTAGCTTTAAAAAGAAAACAAGTTTCATAGAGTATCAATAGCCCTGCTACTTTTGCTTTTGAACCTTTTGCCAAAAGATATGGGGAAAATACCTGCTTCTCTCATAGAGATTTTAAGAGCACATCAAGTAAATATTAAAGTAAAAAGAACAGACTTAATACAGTTCTTAATTTGTATGTACTCTATGTTTTCAGTATTTATAAATAATGAAATGATCTTACTCTCTGGAGTTTTAAAGAATGGTGTATTTGGGATTTCCCCCCCACCCCCCACCCCATAGTCCCCTGTGTTTAGTTTAAGACACACCCATCATTCATACCCATCTTTTCTATGTTACTCTTTTATTTGCACAGCCACTTAGTGGACAGCTCTGAGGAGCAGGGTCCAGGGATTCTTTGAGCATCTATAAATTAGCAAATGGAACTTCTGTTTAATTTGAATGTTTGTCTTTGACACGGTAAGGTAAGGCTGAGCTGCTCACTGTTTGCTTGGAATTAATCTTTCTAGCATTAAATTCACAGGAATTTTATGTGTCTTTGCAAGTAGATTCGGAATCATAGTGCAGTCTTTGAGACCTACATTGTGCTCATTTAACTTCTTCCCATGTTTTCTAAAGTTTCTTTTGGTAAAATGGTAACATTTGCTTAATATCACATACTTAAACTAGGCATCATTTGAATTTAGTTATAGTTTATAATAAAACAGATAGTCATTGTTAGTTACCTTATATTACTTGCTTTCTTTGAGTGGGGCCTGAAAACAGTCATTCCTTATGAAGAAGGTGTACACTGTAATGTATTTACTACTTAAGAGTTAAACGGACTATATGTTCTAAAAGTAAAAACTTGAGAATATCACTTAATACCACCATCATCACCATTACAATAATCAGGTTTGCACTATGAATCTGAATCTCATGAAAATATTTACTGTCTCTGAAAAATTCAAATACTGATAATACATATGTAATTTTAAAAACTCTTAATTCCACACACTTAAACACAAGTATTTGAAATACTGTAAGTATCAACTGTTCCAAATAAATAAGGATATTTTAGTAGTGTAAAAAAATACTTCTTTTGTACCAATGCTGAGAGGTAGAATATCTTTACAAATTTTTAGATAATAAATAAACTATTATTGTTAATAAATGTCCCATCTCTTGTCTATTGAGGGGAAAGAAAAAGTAGTTTGTCTTCATTGGTCATATCTTAGAAATTAGTTTAATTTAATTTAAAAGTTTTAGAAGTTTAATCTTAAAATTCTTGCTACCCACATATATTTATCTAGAAAACCTGGAGAGACTTACCTTATTTACCATCTCCTCCCTTTTTTGTGTGGGGACTGATGTCAGCTATGTAAAGTAAATATTATTGGATGATGACTTTACTGTTTAGGAGAGAGTTTTTGTTACGGATATATTTGAAGATTGACTTTTTCATATCTTTCATTCTGTTGACCCTGGCTAAGTGTATAGTAGGTATTAATGATCATTGCATATTTTTTGTCCCTGAAATGTACCCTTGAGTTTATAAATACATTCGTTTTAAAGTTGGTTTTGTTTTACAGTTGTGACTCTATTTTTGACTTTAAATAAAGAGGTAAAAAGTAAATTAAGTGAAAGCCCTTTATTAGTGGAGTTACAGCAGAGAAATTAAAAGTACTTTGGGCCTTTGTTCAATTTTTTAATGATTCCATGTTTACTAGAACATGGGAAATTTTGCTTTGTAATGAGCAAATAATAACAATAATTAAAATTAAGTGAGAAATACTGTTTGGTGTTTTGCAACCAGGTAGGCCAATTAAAAGAATCTTTATTTTTCACTTGAGGAAGTAAGTCTAGACATTGGGCATGATTTTCCCAAGTCATACAGCTTGTTGGGGCTAGGAGGGACTGAAAGCACCTGCAAGCAAAATAGCTGAGTCTGAAGGTTGTGCCTGAGACTCCATTGCCCCTGACAAGGTCATTTCAGTCCATCCAGCTTATTAGTCAGAATACTTGGTCATAGTATGAATAATTAAAACATCACATACATACTGGTCAAAATACAAAAAGTGTGTTACTTTCTCTTTTAGTCAAGATACTTGGTCATAGTATGAACAATTAAAAACATCACATGCATACGGGTCAAAATACAAAAAAATGTGTTACTTTCTCTTGTCTGAATTGGTAAAAGTTTAGCAAAACCTGGTATATTATGGGAAGCCTTGAGAAATTATATTAAATAAACAGCTGCATGTAATAAAGTATCATTATCCAGTGGCCTGGCTTTTTCTTTACTTTTAAAAAATTGATAGTCTCAATACACTGGTAGGTATAGTTTGAATTTTGGTATTGTTTCTATGTGAGTATATCACTTCCCTTTCCACTGTAAACACCTCTGAAATGTGTCAGGACTTAAAAATAGTTGGTTAGATATGAAAGGTTATTTATATAAACCTTATCCAATGTTTCCAGCTTTTGCATTCTGATCACCAGTTTTTGCACCTTGTTTGTATGTTTGATCAGTTACAGACTTGAAGTTGGTAGAAATCCTTAATTTCATCTTTGGCCTTGATAGTTGGAATGTAAATTTGATTAATAGTCATACTGACATGCCTTCTGTGTATACATCACTTGACAGGATCTTATTGAGGTTAGATCTTAAAATACTCCTTCTGGCAGTAAATCATTCCTCTTCAAATTTTTATCCCTGATATACATAGTAGACCGTGTGATTGTTCTACTAAAAATGCCAAAACCAGTCCATTATTTAGGATATTGATCTTTCCATTTAATTTTTGACAACTTAATTTTTCTTGGATCATACTTAATACATTCCAAGTTCCTGTTGTTAGTGAATTTTTTAAGCTGTTTTTCTCATACTGAATCAGTCCACAGCAGCAAATCAACTTTCATTGACAGAATGATTTATGCCTTCCACTTCTACAGTCTGAAATTGACTAAACCTGTGACCAATATGTGTGGTTAATAAGGAGTGATTGGTTGGAATAAGAAAATGAAATAAATTGGGAGGGGGAATAGTACGGCTTTAGTGATAAAAAGGAGGCCAGAGATCTCATGATAGAATTTTGCATGACCAATGACTTGTATATTGTAAATCCCTTGTTTAAAATACATGTGTGTGACATGAAATTTCCGTGTTCAGCTTTTTGAGGAAATGCCAAACTGCTTTCCAGAGAAGTGGTACCATTTTTACAATCCTCCTAACAGTGTGTGGATTTCCATTCTCTCTACATGCTCTCCCAACATTTCTTGCTTGCCATCCTGTTAAACTTTGCCACTGCTACTGTGGTGAGATGGAACTGTTTATGGTTTGGGTTTGCATTTCTCTGGCAGTGATTTTGAGCATTTCTTCCTGTGTCTGTTGATCACCCAACTTCCTTTGTGAAAACTCTGTCCATGTCTTTTGCCCATTTTACTTATTTGTGCAGGCCCTGTAAAGTAATCTGTAAACATTTGTTGTTAAACCTTTGCCTGAGATTTGAATTCCCAAGTATTCCGCGCCCCCCGAACCCCATCTTCAGGTACTGCATTGCTCCCTGCCGACCTGGCTCGCACCCCCCCCCCCCCCCCGGAGTTTGTAGGTTTTCTTTTCACTCTACTGGAACAAAATTTTGAAGTAAACAGTAACCTAATTTTTAGAAGGTCCTGTTTACTGATTTTGTCCTCTCTCGGTTGTGTGTTTCTGGATATATTTGCAAGTATAGCCCTGGTGTGTCCACTTGCTGTGCACTTGTGGTTGCTGTGAAGCTGAACACTGTGATACTGATGTGTCAAATGCAATAATGGTTACCCATGGTGGACAGTGTTTGGTGTAACTCCTAGATTAAAACAAGCTTGGAAGCAGGGGTGGCATCCACTTCCATAAATAGCTTGCCTTCAGAAACCCTATGAACCTGGAGAAAGGATGAAAGTCACACAGGTGTTGAGGACTTCCATTCATAGAGTCGCTCTGAGTTGCCTACAGCACTTAACAACACAGCCACATTTACATCATTGGCTAGGCTTCCCAAGTTTAGTCCCATTTTGTCTATTATGTTCTGTATGGTCTTGGGCTTTACCCCTAGGTCTCTAATCCACTTTGGGTTGATTTTTATGTGTAATGTGAGATGTGGATCTTGCTTCAGCTTTTTTGTGTGTAGATGTCCAGTTTTGCCAGCACCATTTGTTGAAGAGGTAGTTTCCCCGTGTAATAGGCTTTGTTTCTTTGTCAAATACCAGTTGATCATAGGTAGATGGGTTAATATTTGGGTCTCAGTTCTGTTCCATAATTATGTATCTGTCATTGTACCAGTTCCATGCAGTTTTTATTATTACAGCTGTGTAGTAGGTTTTGAGATAAGGGAGTGGCTTCCCACTTAATTTTTGTTTTTCAGAAGTAGTTTGCTTATACCTCAAGGTAAAAACAACAGACAGAAATTGGAGATGTTTATAGCATCGTTATTCATAGTAGCAAGAAGATGGAAATAATCCAAATGCCCAGCAGCAAACAAATGGATTGAGAAACTGGTACACTCACACAATGGAATACTACACAGCACTTAAAGCAGTGATTTCATAAAATGCTGTATAACATAGGAGAGACTACTGAGCATTATATAAATGCCCAAAAAAGGAAGGAAAGGGGAGTGAGGGACTGAGGGTGGGAAGGGAGTCAATCACGGGGTCACAGAATTTGAT